CCCAAAATCATCATTTTTCTTTTATAAAATAAAAAAAATCCAGAAAGACAAGCGACTTGGTTGATAAGAATAGAATAAAAAGGGATCTAAATGCATAAATGAGAGATGGAAAGACCAAGCTGGATCTTTGCAATATTGAAAACTCAACTGCACCCTTGAAGAAACTAAATGTAAAAGATAATGCAAATTCAACATTAACTTAAGTGAATATTAGATGAATTTGCATAAAAATTACGTTTGAGGGCTTAATTAGATTTTTAATAGGTTGACTTGATTTAATCATGGGCCTAATTAAATATTTAATTAAGTTTAAAGATTGATTTAGGCAAAAAAAAAAAAGAAGAAGTAAATGTAAACACTTAATTAGACTTTTAATGGGTTAAAGTAATTTTAATAGAGACTTAATTAGTGAAAAATTAAGTATGAAACTTAATTTGGGTCTAATTGAGATTGAAATTTTAAGAGATCAAATTTATTTTTTACAAGTTTAATCAAATGGAATCATAGGTGAAATTGCAAGAAAATCAAAGTTTTGATGTCAATTAAAGGTCAAATTAAAGAATTTCAAAACTAAGAACCAAAGTGCAATAGACTTACAAGTTTGAGGACTGAAATTATCAAAATCAGGAGTCAACTTAGAAGAAATTGAAAATTTAATGGTTGATAGAGTTCAAGTTGCATAATCTAGAATCCAAAGATCAATTTGAGAAAAACACTCAAATCAAAGGAGTCAAATTAAGATTTTCAAGGGCATGATTACAAAAATTAAAAAGTTTCAAGGTCAATTAAGGATGCATATGCTAAAATTAAAACAACAAAGATTAAGTTAAAGCTTGTAAAATCTCAATTAGAAAACTTCAATTTATAGGGTTTAAGTCGAATGATATATCACTCAATTTTAATAAAGAGAAAAAGTGACATGTTGGTGGGTCTCTATTTACCATTTTCTTCAGCCTAAAAGGCTAATCAAGTTGTCACTTTCAGATAAATAAACATGACATATCTAACCATTTCAAAGACTCTAACCACTACCATTTGACCCGAAATCAAGAATGGCTTGATCCCTTATATCCTGTCTAAAGAAGTAAGATCCTAAATTGGATAATTTGTGTCCCAATCTCCACATTGACCTTGACAAAGTATTCGACCCAATCATCCATGACCAAAGAAAATTTCACCATGATTGAAAGAACTTTAAAGTTGTTTTTTCATATGTGATTTATGTTCATAAAAGGACAATAGCAGACTAGACACCCTTTATTTTTATAGATGAAGACTTTGAAAGAAAGAATGCAAATCTTTCTTAACAAACTATTGGCAAAAACCATGGTTTGTTTCCTTTCCATTTCTGGTTTAAGTTTGCTTATATAAGCTATATGCTCAAAGGAAGGGAAAAAAACTATAAAGAGAAGAAAATAGAAAGCTTAGAGAACATTAAACCATTAATATCTCTTGATAAAAAGGCTATAAAATAGAAATAAAAAAGTGGAAGGCAAAACTTATGAATCCTAGATTGGAAGTAGAAATACTAGGGATCTAAAGCTTGAAGAAGAAATAAGAAATTCCAAGCAAAGTCTCTATTTTTTGTTTCTTATTATTGTAATTATTCAAATAAGTTGTGTTAAGCATGCTTAAATTATAGTTGCTAAGTTTACATAACTTTTCTAGGTTTTTGAGGCTTTTTCTGGGTTTTCATACATTTTTAGGTTTATGTTCATTAGTTGAAGATTATCTTAGGTCTTTGTTTTTCATGTCTTTTTGATCATTTGTTGATTTTTGGATATACATACAAGCTTTTTGATCACTAATTTAAGGTCCTAATGGCTTAAAACACTAAAATCTTGGCTTTTGATCCTTGATTTTTTGTTTGTATTTTTCACATAAAAAATCAAATAATTATTGATTAGTACTTAAAATTGTATTTTTATCAAGATTTTATATCATCATTTTGTATTTGAAATATCAATAACTCCTTAACTAATGCATGTTTTATACTAACATATCTAATAATATAAGATACCTTTCATTTATGGTAAATGTTCATTTTAAATGCAGGTCTATCACATAAATGAAAGGATTAATTGATGAGTTTAAGAATTGAAATTAAAAGGACAAAGAGATAGCCAAACTTAGAAAATAGATGTCGGTGCAATCCAAACTAGAACATTGTTTGG